CCCCTACCCCCCCTCCTACCCCCTACACCCCCTGGATTTCTCAGGGTGCACGCCATGAGAACCCCCCTCCTACCCTCTACCCCCCGACGAGTCCTCAGGGCGCACGCCCAGAGAACCCTGCTCCTACCCCCTCCTCCCCCCTCCCTCCTACCCCCTCCCCCCCCTCAGGGTGCACGCCCCGAGGACTACCCTTCCCTACCCACCTCCCCTTCCCCCCGAGTCCTCGAGGCGCACGCTCCGAGGACACCCCTACCCTATCCCCTACCTACCCCTTTGCATACACCTACCTTACCTACCCTATCCCGCTACATAGCTCTGTACCTACCCTACCTTACTTACCTACCAAAACCATCTACCTTACTTACCCTACCCCTCATTATTCCTACCTACGTAACCCCTTATCCTTCTTACCTACCCCTTTATTCTACCTACCCTACCCATTATCTTGCCTACCCTACCCCTTGAACCTGCCCTACCACCCATTTATCCTAACCCCTTATCCTTGCCCCTCTGCATACCCCTACCCCTCCCCCTCGGGACCTCGAGGCGCCTTGTCCCAAGACCCCCCCTCCCCGGGACCTCGAGGCACTGTGCCTTGTGGTCCCCCGCCTCGCCCTTAAAAAAAGTTCATCAAAACAAAATTCATATACCAAAAAATTTCAGTAAACTATTCAGAACCTGGAGTTTTTCATTTAATTAAATTAATCTAAGTATTCAAAGTTAGAATCAACCAAAACAAAAATAACTAAATACAATCCAACTATTGAGAGAGAGAGAGAGAGAGAGAGAGAGAGAATAACATTGTATAACAATATATATAGGTCGTATATCAGCTCCTTCCACCTGTATGTTAGCTTTGATTTTAACAAGGTTGACTCGAACAAAAAAATGTTACAAAGGAAAGGGATTAGCAATATATTCTTTTATATTCAATAAGATTTATTAGTTAATATTATCCACTAACAAATATTGGCCTAACAATGCTTGTATACGATGATATTATATGCAAAAGGTAGCATTCATGTATATATAAATCTGTTAAAAAGGGGAAAAAAACAGACAAACTTAGAAAATCAGGAACTTGCAAAACTTGTGCCAGAAAGAGGTTCATAAACAAAGTTGCTAGATGATATGATGAAAGCTATCTTTTGGAATATCAACACATAGGAATTCTTTTGAGATTGCAAATGTTAAATAGACATCATAAGTTCTTATAAGCTTTTATGGAGCCATTTCAACCTATGGAACACCTGCAGATGTATATATGAATGTTAACACCATGGAAGCCAAAAAAAAAAAATTACAGCAGTGCCCAAACACTAACCACATAAGAATAAGAGAGCTAAATATGGCACATTGTGAATGCAAATGTATGCTAATAAGTTAGCTAGAGATGCAAAATTGAGAAAAATCAGCACCCAAAAACAAACATTATAAAACAACAAGATAGTAACAAGAAAAGAGCATATGGTGGTCTTCTTATTAAAAATGAAAGCATTATGTCATCTTTCAAACACATTAAAAATGTCTTAATGAGGGATCACTGACTAATTTGAACCAAACCTCAGTGGAAAATAGAGACTATAAAAAAAGATACAGGAGCAGCAAGGTTTCAGCCATAGGCAGTAATGAAACAAAATTTAAATTGGATACATACAAAAATTGATTATAAAGCTAACAACAAAAGAAACAACACAACATATTTAAAGCTTAAAACTTAACCATGAGCACCCTCTTAATCATTTATCATTCCACGAATAACTCTCAACTAAAGAAAACAAGATGACACTTTAGAAATTTAGGGGAAGGAACAAAGAAAGGTTGAGACTAAATCATTCTGAGTGAGGGAGGAGATCAGTACGACATTCAAACATTCCAATTGAGCAGCAACCAACAGTGGGATCAAAGAGGTTCAAGTTCAAACCTTCAACTTTCAACCTGTCCACATGAGAAGACATTTTTAAACTAAGAAGCATAATAAGTAGCAATTAGCAACATAAGCAATACACATGTTTAACTTACATCAACAACACCTAAAGGAAAAACAACCACATCTGATAAAAAACAGAACTTTTAAACAAAGTTCTACATATTTATATATCGAAATACTGAAGAAAGAAGGGATTTACCTCTTTTTGTGCAGCAAATTGAAACAACCAGCTTGAAGACTTCTTACCCAGAGAAGATCAGCTCCGACAAACTACGATGTACCAACGGCTCGGAAACATCAGAAGAAGAGGGTGTTTTCCTCTAAAGAATTCTTAAACTTGAAATGCTCTCCAAGACACCTATTTCTCGATGAAGAATTCTGTCTTTTTCAATGGTTCAAATCCCTATTTCACAGTGAAGATGACAAGGGTATTTATAGGAGGGAATTAGGTCGAATACTTTCATAATTGAACCAAACATAAATTTTCGCTCCACTAGGCTACATGTTCTGTCCTCCCCTTTCCCAACTAGGCACATACGTCTTAAATTCTAGACATTTCCTTAATATATATAATGTAAAATTGATGAAACGATTCATGATTCTTGTATCACTAAGCTAGTCACAAAATGATCTTGTAGATATAGAAAAATATATTGTGGACGAAACGTGACTCTAGAAGGTAATAATAAAATAGACAGACTTTGGTGAATGGTTGAGACATAAAGATTTTAATGTCAAATCAACATGGATATAACGAAAAATTGAATAAGCGAATGATATGTATAGATTCTATATTTGGATAACAGATCATGTCATTCAAATATCTTTCTCTAAGTGAAAGCATGAAAATTTAAGATTCAAATCATAATTGTTCATAATATTCCACCAAACTAAAATCTAGCCCCCATATTCAATGGAATATTAATATCAATTTTCAAAACCTCTGCCTCTATGAAGCTACTATTTTTTTCAGTGTCGCAAAACTCAAGAAAATTGGAAATTCATATTGAAGAGGTAAAAATCATTTGGGTAATTATCAGATACAACACAGAAACAAGAAGGAAAATGAAAGATGAAAATCCAAAGTCATCTCAATTGAATTCACTAAAATTCATCAATATACAAGAGGGTTTGAAGAAAAGCATAATCATATGTTTCATTACTAATTGTAAGAAGTAACCCATGACTTATATACCAAATTCCCCATTCTTACAACGAGTTGAATTCGAGGTTACATGAAAACTATCCAATCAAAATCTACTAAACCCCCAACCATAATTCAAACGAAAATGGGATAAAAGTACCTGATTGGCGCACGCCCCGAGTCCGCGAGGTGCACGCCTCGAGTTATATAGGTATATGAGCTCCTTCCACCTGTATGTTAACTGGCAAGGTTGGCTCGAATAAAGAATGTAACAAAGGAAAGGGATAGCGATATTTTCTTCTATATTCAATAGATTTATCAATGAATATTATCAACTAATCAATATTGGCCTAAAAATGCTTGTATATCATCCTGTTATATGCAAAAGGCAGCATTCAAGTATATATAAATTTGTTAAAAGAGGAAAAAAGCAGACATGCTTTGAAAATCAGCAACCTGCAAGAGTTTTTCCTCAAAGAGGGATCACAAACAAAGTTGTTAGATGATGATGAAAGCTATCGTTTGGAATATCAGATCTATTAACACACAGGAATTCTTAACAGAAGGTTGGATAGAATATTTGCAAACTCGCATCTTATGGAATGGTTCTCAACTATGGAGGTGGATCATTTAACTAGAACGGGGTCGGATCAATTACCTATTCTTGGTATGATATGCTGGCAGTTATGGAAAAGAAGAAATAAGGTGAATTATGGAGGTACCATATAAATTATAATGCAAGGAGTACTAGTTCCAGATGTTGCAACGTAAAATAAGCATTGATTAGGTAACTAAAATGGAATTAGAGGAGTAGAGTGTATAATATATAAGTAATTGGAAAAGCAAGGGGTAGTTTTGACAATCATGACATCAGCAGACAACCACCTACTCCAGCTGCAAATAATTGAAAAGCAATATCTTGTACTGTTTGTATTTTGGAATGTAATTAGCCCAATGCAAAGATAACAATATAAGTTGGAGAATTGTAGACCTCAGAATCTCAACTGTTTTCTAATCTCCTTGCAATATAATTATAACATGGCAACACAGAGTAGACCTATTTAATCCTGGGTAAGAAATAAACTGAAAGCTGAAAATATGACCATCTTCATATTAGTATCTTTGTTCTGTTAGGTTCACGTGGGAACTGATCCTACAGGTTCACATTATGCATATGCAATTTTACAAGCATTGGATGGTAAAACATAAGAATTAATAAGCTTCTTAAATGACATACATCAATATTAACTTGCAGCTCCGCGTTGGCTTCAGGAGCAGGGATTGCCTATGACTTGGACGACAGTGATCTATGATATTTATAAAAACACTTATCTCTTAACCCTTATTTGTATCTATGGATGAAAAACATCCCACAAGAATGACCCCTTTTGATGGAATTTCTTCTAAAATACAAATCTGTGATAAAATCTGTACCTGTAAAGTTGGAAACTACCTAACCAAGGTTGGTTTACTTGTGATTCAGATGGTGCTTCTAAAGGAAACCCTGGTCCAAGTTCTATAGCATTTTGTATTGAAAATGATGAAGGGGACACTCAAAATGCTCTATGAAGAAGGATGGCAGACTCCACTAGTCTATTTGTTGAGGCTACGACTTTGAAGGAAGTGTGTGATCTATGTGTTGAAAGAGTAATATTGGAAACAAATTCTTTGGCCTTAATAAAAATAATAACGGGAGATTGGAATTGCCCCTGGAGTATTGTGAGCTGATTGAAGGAGGTCTCAACTCTCATATAGCTTCAGCACACAAACAGAAAAGGCAACAGCGCCGCAAATTTTTAGCTAACTTCTGTTTTAGTTTTGAAGGGACGAAATGCTATGATTCATTTGCAACATTACCAAGGAAGGATAAAGGCATAATTATTTTAGACAAAGAGCAAGTTCCACATAAGATAATCAAAAGACTTAAAAGACAAGCATCATATGAAATGATCCAAATAAGTACAAGGCACAAATACTCTTAGAAAGAACACCATGTCTCTAACTATTCCAACAAGCCTTTCAAAACCCATTTCAACATCTAAATTTGGGTCTCAATTTACCACAAAACAAAGAACTTCAGCCATTGTGTGTTCTTTAAACCAAACTGTTTTTAATTCAACAGAGGAAAGTTCTTCTTCATTAAAGGCATTCTCTGCAGCACTTGCTTTGTCTTCAATTCTTTTGTCAGCACCAGTTCTTCCAGCTTCTGCTGATATCTCAAGGCTTACACCTTGCAAGGACTCAAATCAGTTTGCTAAAAGGGAGAAGCAACAGATCAAGAAGCTTCAAAATTCTTTGAAACTTTATGCACCTGATAGCGCCCATGCACTTGCTATCAATGCCACTATTGAGAAAACTAAACGCAGGTTTGCCTTCAGTATCCTTCTTCACAATTTTCAAAAAGTTTTACTTCTTATTTGCCTATTTTCCCTAGTTATCATTTTTTTATTGTGTACTAGATAGAGAGTACTTTGGAGCAGAGGCTAAGCCAATATTAAGATTTTGGGATTCTAATCAATTTTGTTAGGGATTCACAAATTAAAATACATAATACAAATATAGGGTCTAACATCAGATGCAGCGCGAGGGACTACACCTTATGGTGCGAGGCTCGGGTCCGGCATTGGGATTTGTACAGCAAGCCCCTGTCCCCCTGAGCTACATGTTCTGTCCTCCCCTTTCCCACCTTGGCGAGTACGTCTTAAATTCTAGATATTTCCCTAATATATAATTTAAAATTGATGAAACAATTCATGAGTCTTGTATTACTAAGCCAGTTTCAAAATAATCTTGTAGTCCACCTAGAGATCAGAAATAATTAAACAAGGTTGTATAGGATCCAAACTCATGGTGATACACAAAATATTAGTTCAACTAAAATTCAAAACAAACACAAACAGGAGCGGAAGAGCAGTGAATACGATTGCGAACAATAGCAACAACTTGACCATCCATGAAGCTATGAAACCAGATTCCCCTGTTACATATACTACCTTTCCTACTCCACTATTCTTAGGATCCATTCCATTCCCAGATGTTATTCAAAAAGAATACAGAAATGTAATTCAATTTGGCCATAAGGCATATGTACGAGTGTTTATGGTCTTGGAAGTATTCAGTAAAGCATCACTTTAGTGATTGAATTGATGTTGTTTGTTTCATCTCAATTGAATTATTAGAATTCATCAATATAGAAGAAGAATGGTTTCACCAAAACAAAATTGTATGCTTCATTGCTAATTCTAAGAAGTAACGGGACAGTGAATTATTACCCATGTCTGATATACCAAATCCCCCATTCCTACAAGTTAATTTCGAGGTTATATATAAATTATTCGATCAATCAACTAAATCCCTAATCCTAAGTCAAATGAAAATGAGAAAAAGTAAATTATTCAATCAAATCAACTAAACCCCCAACCTTAAATCAGATGAAAATGGGAAAAACTAAATTATTAAATAAAATCAACAAAAACCCCAACCTAAATCAGACGAAAATGGGAAAAAGTACCTGAAATCTAGCAGTGGCATACGAAAATTGATTCAAGAAGCATAGGAATATCTCTACTCATTTGCCTATTTTATTGTCGCCACCATCATTTCGCCATTTTCTTGCTGCATACACCCACAAAAAAAGTAGTTTTGTTTGATCGAAGAAGAAGTAAAATTGAAGCCATCTTCATCGCCTAATTTCATTGCTACTGTGGAAGAGTAAGATAGTGAAGAAAGAAGAGAACAAACTATTGTATTTGTATTGAAATGAAAAGAGCCGTTATTTGTATTTGAAATTGAAATGAAAAATATCAAAATAAACTCTTAACGTATATAGTCAAATTTATAAAATTCCAAGGTTTTTGATTTTAATGAAATAAAATACTTAAATTAGCTTAAGTTTTGAGCCTTTTTCCATTTTTAAAAATTAACTTAAATTTTTAATCTTCTTTTAAAATATTCTTTCAATTTTACCCTTTTAAATTAGAATCGTAATTAGTTATTATAATTAATATTTTTTTATAATAATTAATAATACTAAAAATGAACACCTCAAAGTTATCTCAAAACTTAAGTTAATATGGAGTAGAGAGAGTAAGTATGAACTAATTAATTTGAAAAGAACCGCATTGATTTGAATTAATTTTTCAAAGTCTAACTCATCCATGGTTTAATTTCAATAGTTAGACCTTGAGAAACTTATTCAAATCAATGCGGTTATTCAAATAATTATTAATTTTATATTACTATATTAAGTGGATGAGCTTTGAACAATTTAATATCTTTTTATTTTAAATAAATTGTGTGAGTTAAGTGATTTTATATATTTAATATTTTAAATTATGTAAACTACTAATGTATCGCGATGAATTTGAACTTTTGCGACACTTTTGTCATCAAGTGATTTTATAATTTTTGTATTTTAAATTAAGTTAAATATTAATGCATCATAATCAGTTTGTACTCTTATGACATTTTTATAACCGCTAATTTTTGAAACTCACAATATTCTTACTTCTTTTTTTATGCTTTTGATATTATTCTAATCAAGTGAATTTACACATTGCGATAAAGTGTTGACAGAGCAGAGTGAAAGGCACGACATCGAGAGAGGGCTGGGGAAAGACCCGGACATTGAGAGGCGGACAAGGAGGTTATATCGCTCTAAAACAGGTACTGATAACGAACCACAAGCCCTAGCTTTTAAGCCGAAGAAAGAAGCAATCATACCCCTAGAACAGAAATATATTGCACTTCAAATTAGTATTTTAATTTACATACTAACATGTCATGGTCAATTAGTACTCTTGTCACACTTTTATAATTGTTTATTATTGAAACTCACAATATTCTTACTTTCTTTTATCTCTTTTGATATGATATTTTTTAGTTTTTATTTATGTACTAAAATAATATGTTTTTTATTTTAAAAAGTATCATTTTCTAATTCTGAAAACTTAGTTGTTGTTTTATTATTTTTTATTATACTCTTATTGATTTTACAATCACACAAGTATTTCTAAATGTTTTAAATCATAGATTTCTAATTTCGAAAAATAACTTAATTGTTGTTTTATTATTTTTATTGTACTCTTAATGTTAAGTACTTTAAAATGTTTTAAATCATAAATTTTAAAATTTTATTTTTTATGAAATAAATGCCATGTTTAAGATTATAATTTTTTTAAGAGAAAAAAATGATGTATCTAATTTAGTAATTCACTAATTTTTTATGGTGTATTTTTTCATCATATTGATATGTAAAAAATTAGAATTTATAGTACTTTTCGTATAGTTTTTGAATATTTGATTTTTTTATTTAAAAATCAAATTAATGAAATCTAATTTAGCTTTGAAAATTAGTCAAACTAACTTTTGAAATCGCTAATATTTAACTATATACATTGTTTAAAATGCTAAATGTCCAAAATCACAACGGTTTATTTCTTTTTTAAAGAATATTATGTCATTTAAACTTGATGTATTCGAATTTTTTTGTTCGATTAATTAAAATATGAATTTTTTTTCTTAACGCTAGATAAACTTCAGAGAATTGTTATTTCCATTATTGAAATGAGAACATAATTACTTTTATTAGTACATTTTTTTTGTTTATCATAAACAATTTATTTTCCTTATTATTTTTATATCAAAATGGAAAATTTTTGAGCAAATTATCAAAATTAATAATGGATCTATTAATGGTTTTTCAAAATCCAACGGGTTTTCAAAATAATAATAATGTTAAGTCGTTCATAAACCCAACAAATTTTTAAAACTAATAACACTAAGTCTCTCAACGGCCGACTTACCAAAAAGATTAAAACGTATAAACAATCGTTTGACAACGGTTAATAATTCGACAGGTCGCTCAACTTTAAGGAGTTATTCGTTATGTCATATAAAAAATAAGTATTCATTATCTAGTTCGGATAAGATAAGCGAACCTTCTAATTTCAAATTCCATAATTCGCGACTATTTATGTACGCACAAAATTATTAATTTTAACGTATTTGACATTTTTGTGTAGTTAATAAACATGGAAAAATTAAAAAAAAAACTAGATAAACTTCATTTAATTGTTATTTATGCTATTAGAACAAGAACATAATTACTTCTATTAGTACATTTTTTTTTAATTTTTGATAAACATTTAATTTTCCTTATTGTTTTTATATCAAAATGGATATACTTTGAACGAATTGTCAAAATCAATAACCAATATGTAAATAATTTTTTTCAAATCGAACGGTTTTTCAAAATAGCAATAATTTCAAGTCGTTCATAAAGCCAACAATTTTTTAAAAATAATAACGGTGAGTCTCTCAACGCCGACTTATGAAAAAAATTAAAAACGAATAATCAGGTCGTTTGACAATTGTTAATAATACGACAGGTTGCTCAACTTTAACGAATTATTCATTTTGTCGTATAAAAAATAAGTACTCATTTATCCATTTCAGATAAGATAAGTGAACCTTCTAATTTAAGATACCATAACTCGCGAATATTTATGTACGTGCGAAATTAATAATTTTTAACGTGTTCGAAATTTTTATGTAGTTAATAAACAATATGGAAATGTTTTTAAAAAAACTCGATAAACTTCGTTTAACTGTTATTTCAATTATTAGAACAAGGCCATAATTACTTTTATGATTACACTTTTTTCTTGTTTTTGATAAACAATTGATTTCCTTATTATTTTTATAGTAGAATAAATAAACTTGAGCGACATGTCAAAATCAATAACGGATATATAAATAATTTTTTTAAAAAATCCAACGGTTTTTGGAAATAGCAATAATTTCAAGTCGTTCATAAACCCAATAATTTTTTAAAGAATAATAACGGTAAGTCTATCAACGCCGAATTACCGAAAAAAATTTAAACGAATAAACGGTCGTTTGATAGCTGTTAATAATACGACAGGTCGCTCAACTCTAACAAATTACCCATTTTGTCGTGTAAAATATAA